CAGAGCTAGGAGGGAGTAATAGAGTGAGTCAAAATCAGATAGTATCTGTCTAGGGAGTTTATAATTTAGTGATCAAAAAACAGAATTCACACATTTCCAGGTCCAGAAATTTCTAGGAAAAGAAGGAGGTATTTAATTATAGTTTATAATAGACTAGGGGGCTTCAAAAAGTTTGTGGGAAAATTCCATTATCTTTTCATTCAATTTTTCCGTGAACTTTTGAGCCCCTTTTTTATTCTATTATTCTATATTGTATATTATTATAATCAAATTGTGTGAAATACAAAAATAAGGAAAATTTACAGTGATTTAAAGTTTATTAATATTAAGGTCATAGATTAGCTGTTTGGCTTTAAAAACACCTAAAAGCAGACTTAAATACAGTGTGTTTGGGATTCATGGGCCATAATATATTCTCAATTAGTAATTTGACAAGGAGTCTTTAATTATCCCATGTTAAATAGATTTTGTTTCTAGTGAAAATTAAAATGGCGGGGTTGAGGTAAGTACAACAACTTTTCAAGAACATTCTAGTATCAGGGTCCAAAGCTGCCTTCTTGTAGATCCACTTTCTAATCCATAATTTAATAGTGATGGTATCAATATATTGGAATAACATTAATAAAGTAACAGTAGTATCTGCTGACAGTTATTAAATGTGTACTGGGAGCAGCTTTGTGCTTAATTCTTTAGATTCATTAGCTATTAACGATCATAATATTAATCATCTTAAAAGGCACATAAGCTCTTTTAACAGAGAAAGATCGTGGGACTTACAAAGTTAAATATCTTACCTGGTATCACATAACTAATATGACAGATATCATTGGGATTTGAACTCATGTTTTCTTTCATCAGAGTCTGAGCTTTTATATACTGTGACTTGTTGTCCCTTGTATATTCAAGTACACAAAGTAAGAGTATGTTGTCTTCCTAGAAGCAGACATGATAACTTAGTGTATATTTAAGCATTATCACGAAGTCACTAAACACTCTTGTTAAGTCACTTATGTGTCACTTAACAATAGAATTTTTCTGTTGAGAAATAACTGCTGTTTAATACCTAGGAATCAATTGTTATGATTTAAAAACAGGGACTTTGTAAGCCAAGAAAATTACATGACAATTTAATTCACGCAAATGCATGAATTTGTGTTCGTTTCCAGAAGCAGTAGTGAATGATACGAGTAATGAAAACAAATCTGGGGCAGCAGACATTGCAGCAAGCCAGCATGTGATGGTCTGTGCCCTCCAAGAGCTTGGGAGCCTGGTCCAGAGCTTAAATGCCACTGCGTCCCCTCTTATTCAGGAAACATCTATAGGTATGATATTCAGTCAATAGTGCGAATATTGTGTACTGTTTTAAAAAGTCGTGTGTATTTTGATACTTAACTCCTAACTGCTCATTGTTATATTAGCAGTTTAGATCATTTGTTGAAATTGGATTTTGTAATTGAAGATAATTATTCACTATGATGGAGTCCTGGTGTGATGCTGTAGAATACGTACTCAACCACTACGTCGGTTTGAACCACAGGGTCGGCGCTTCAAACTCATCAGCAGCTTCTCGAAAACCCTTTACAGGGTCGCTATGGGTCAGAACCCACTCGACAACATGTAACAACAACAATTCAATATGATGGACTCCTGGTATGGAGCTGTAGGATAAGCACTGGACTGTGAACCACAAAGTTGGCAGTTCAAACCCACCAGCAGCTCCTTGAAAACCCTTTGCAGGGTTGCTATTAGTTGGAACCAATTCAATGGCACGTAACAACAATTCACTATGATAGTCAATATTGAATTAAATAGTAAAATAAAGTTTTGGAAGATAAAGCAAAAAGAGTTATGGTCGTTTTATTTCTTATCATTGACTAATGTTTACTTGTTATCGGTTGTATACTTTTGAGTCGGTTCCAACTCATTTGTTGTTGTTGTTGTTATGTGCCATGGAGTTGATTCTGACTCGTAGCGACCCTGTGCAGGGTTTCCAAGGCTGTAAATCTTTATGGGAGCAGAAAGCCTCATCTTTCTCCCGCGGAACAGCTGGTAATTTTGAACTGCTGACTGTGAGATTGACAGCCTGATTTGTAACCACTAAGCTACCAGAGCTTCTTAGTGACCCTGCGTTGGATTTCTGAGGAGCTGCTGGTGGGTCTGAACCGCCACCTTACGGTTCAAATGGACCTTATCCTGCAGTACACCAGGACTTGATAATATTTATCAAAGACTATGATATAATTTTACATTAGCATTTATATTTTATTGGGTATAATTTTGCTATATTGCTTTATAAAATGCTCCCTTAAGTTACTCTACTGCTTATGACTAATGCATATGTTTTCTGACAGAATTCTTAAACTGTGAAACAATAATGACTATAATTTTAATTAGTATGTTATACATAGTCTGAGGAGCTGTGGTAGCGTAGTGGTTGTGAATTGGGCTGGTAATCTTAAGGTCAGCAGTTCAAATCTACCAGTTGTTTCTGAATGATGAGGCTTTCTCCTCCCGTAAAGATTTACAGCCTCAGAAACCCTATACAGGGTCACTATGAATTGGAACTAACTCCACTGCACGTACCCTCCACCATACACAGTCTATTAGTCCATGAACTCTTTACTTCATTAAAGAGTAATCTTTTTGAGTGTTTCTTTTTTAGGACTTTTGGAGACCGTGACTTCAGTACTTCTTCATCCAAGTATGGCTGCTCGTCTTGCTGCTGCCTGGTGTTTGCGCTGTGTGGCTGTGGCATTACCTTTCCAGTTGACACCTTTTCTAGACAGGTGTGCAGAACGCCTCAACAACTTGAAGACTTCACCAGAAGCCGTTAGTGGATACAGTTTTGCAATGGCTGCCTTGTTAGGTGGAGTTCATCAGTGTCCTCTGGGCATTCCTCATGCCAAGGGAAAGGTATGACAGATATTATAGGATTATAAATGCTGTCTTAAAAGCTGTGATTTGTTTCTTGTTTCTTAGAGGTATTTATTTTTGTTGATGATACACAGCAGAACATACACCATTTAAGTGATTTCTACATGTACAATTAATGCCATTGATTGTACTCTTTCAAGTTGGGTAGGCTGAGTGGTGGTTTTGATTGGAACCCTTGTGTTTAATGTGGAACTGGATGATAAAATGAAAATAGCTTTTCTATCGTTATATAAAATATACTGTTTGCTAATATGGGGTTTGGTGGAGTCCTGGTGAGGATAAGCACTGGACCACAAGGTCAGTTTCAACTGCAAGGTTGGTGGTTCAAACTCACCAGGCACTCCTCGGATACCCTATGGCTCACTATGAGTCAGAGCCAACTCGACAGTACTTAACAACAATATGGGGTTAGCAGGCCTTCATTAAAATTTGGTATTTAATTCTGATATATGAATAATAGGATTCCTGGTGTGGCACTGTTGGATCAGCACTAGACTGTTAACCACAAAGTTTGTGGTTCCAACCAACCAGCTGTTCCTCAGAAACCCTATGTAGGATTGTTGTAAGTCAGAACCAACCCAGTGGCACTTAAGAATGACAGAGGAATAATAAACTTTGTGTGGGTATAGTAGTATTTTAAAATTTATTTTTGACACAGATATATATTGTAATAATTATTAAAATATCAGAGTTTAAAATTTACTATTAAAATTTCACATTATTACAATATACAAATGGAGTATTTTAGTTCACTGGTAGAATTCTTGCCTTATGTATAAGAGACCCAAGCTTGAATCCTGCGAGTGGCTACTACCCATTTGTTATGGAGGCTTGTGTATTGCTGTCATGCTGAACAATGAGATATAGCTTCCACATTAAAAGGAACTAGGAAGAAAAGCCTCATGATCTGCTTCCAAAAATCAGCCAATGAAACATCCTGTGGATCACAACAGTTCAGTCCAGAACCAATCATGGGAATGGTGTCAGACTGTACAGCAGTTTGTTCATTGTACATGGGGTAACCAGGAGTTGAGGGCATCTGGATGGCAGCTAACACCAACATGTTATATACAATGGCCAAAGATCATATGATAAATGTTCAACATCATTAGCCCTTAAGAAAATTCAAATCAAAACCACAATGAGATTCCACTACACAACCACTGTTTATAGTAATGACAAAAAAAATGTACTGTGGTTTATGTATATAATCTGACACCTTGGCTTGGAGGTTTTGTTGTTAAATACCATGGAGTCGGTTCCGACTCATAGTGACCCTGAACAGGGTTTCC